GGACCTTTTTGGCAATTCTTATGTCGCTAGTTTGCGAGTCATTACTTAGTCCGAGCTTAGCAGTTTGGTCCCAGTAAAGCCTATGGATTATTCGGGTGGTCCTTTTCGTCAATGCCTGTCTCTTGTAAGATCGGTAGTAACAGATCATGTCGTACGTTGTCGAATGCTTTTTGATAATCAATAAATACGTCTTTTCGCTGATCGTAGCATTTTTGTACTAGTAGTTGCATGCAATAAAGTGCTTCTCTTGTGCCCAGGCTGTTCTTGAAGCCAAACTGGGTGTCGCTTGATATTCTATCGCACTTGCTGTATATTCTCTTGTGGATTATCTTCAGAAAAACTTTTAGTGCGTGGCTCATGAGACTGATGAGCCGGTGTTCCTCGCACGTTCTTGCATTGGGTTTCTTTGGAATCGTGACAAAGGTGGAAGTTAACCAATCAGTAGGAATGTTACCAGTGTCATAGATTGCGTTGAAAAGATGACATAGCTTATTGGTGTTAACTAACTTGAGTACTTCTGCATGTATATTGTTTTCCCCCGGCGATATCTTGTTCTTAAGCTTAGATAGCGCATACGTCACTTCTGATTCTAATATTGGAGGACCAGATGCATTCCTGGAAATACCACTTGGGGTTATCAATCGTATGTCATCAAACAGGTTTTGGATGTATTTTTCCCATACTTTGCAGATATCCTGGGGGTCTGTTACAATTTTATTATTTTTTGTAATTTTTGAGATGTTTATTTTCTTGAAGGTATTGGTAATTTCCTTTAGCTTTTTATGGAAGTGGAAAGCAACCTATTATATAAAACATGAAATTAAAACACATTGTTTGGTTCCAAGTTCAAAAAATGACACTACTAAGTCTCTTATCCTGCGCCCTCAAAGTCGACTTTTCGGGAGTTTGTAGCAATTAAAATATAAGACATTTAAAAAAAACACATAGCATATCCTTAAAGATGGCATCGCCATGAGTAATTTGAGCTAAAGAAAATTAAAATTGGTTCAACCATTTTGGAGATACAAGCGGTCAAAAAGTAATGTTGGTAATGCAAAAATTAAGAAATGTTGTCTCCTTATTCTTCTCCTCTGTCCGCAAAGGCGGATAAAGAATTTGCGAGGCCCAGGGTATTATTATTATCATTAAAATTTACGGAAATTTCTCGCACCAGGTGCCAAGGGTCGACGAATTCGACTTTCGCGAGTTGCGTTACGGGAATTTTTCGCACCAGGTGCGAAGGATCGACAAATTCGACTTCGCCGAGTTGCACTACGGGAATTTCTCGCACCAGGTACCAAAAGTCGACGAATTCGACTTTCGCGAGTTGCGCTACGGGAATTTTTCGCACCAAGTGTCAAAAGTTAACGAATTCGACTTCTCGAATTTGCCCTACGGAAATTATGCAAACGAGAGAGAGAGGGAGAGAGAGAGAGAGAGAGAGAGAGAGAGAGAGAGAGAGAGAGAGAGAGAGAGAGAGAGAGAGAGAGAGAGAGAGAGAGAGAGAGAGAGAGAGAGAGAGAGAGAGAGAGAGAGAGAGAGAGAGAGAGAGAGAGAGAGAGAGAGAGAGAGAGAGAGAGAATAGAAGATAGAAAAGGGAGAAAGAGGAAGGAAGAGAGTCAAGTAGAGTAAATAAATAAAATTTTATATACATATATAAAGATATATATATAATGTTATTTCGTTGAGGGTTGAGGTTAAGGATCTCACACCGTCAAATAAGCAGTACTGAGTTTCTGTAATAAACGAAACGACATTAAAGTTTATTCCTTGGTGTAATTCTCCTTTATCACTTTTTACTTAAACGAGTTTATCTATTCTTCTCAATTCTCTATATTCTCCTCTACGTAGCTCGCGCAATGGTAATATAGGTTTCAACTTATCATCTAATGTCTACTTATTATGGCCGCGTTGAGCGGCAAATTCTAATCAAAGAAATGCACTTTCTTTACATCTCCCCTCTTCGGGAAAGCTCATCCACCAGAATCTTCTGGAAACAGAGTGACCACGTTCTCTTCTATATCCTGTATATCCTCTATTTGTATTGGTACCGGTGGTGCTGGAGTTAGCTTCATTATGTGGAATAATGTTGAGTCAGATTTCCTATGTCCGGTGTCTACTTTATAAAGTGATTTAGATACTTTTTCCAATATTTTATATGGTCCTATTCTTAATTCCTCTAGTTTTCTTCTATTTAATTTGTTCCCATTTTCTACGAATACTGAGTCTCCTTCTTTGAATTCACCCTCGTTTTTGTTTTTGTCAAATAGCTTTTTATTGTATTCATGTGATTTTATACTGTTCTTGTAAGCTAGTTCTCGATCCTCTAACAAGTTCTTTGGTATGTTTTCTTGGTTTATTTCTTTTGGTAAAATTGTAATGTTTTTCCCTTCTAGTAAGTATGCGGGTGCAAATCTAGTCACTGTATGGATCGTTTGATTATATTTTTTTATGCATTCCTGTGCTATTGTTGTCCAGGCTAATTTTGTTCCTTTTTCATTCATTTTGCACCTTATTTTATTAATCAATGTTTGGTTCAGTCTCTCATTTATACCATTCGAAAATGGTGTATTTATTGCCGTGAAAATAATTGGTATTTTCTTTTCTTCTAGGAACTTCTTAAATTCTTGGGAGTTGATTCCCGGGTATCGGTCTGTTAGGATCATTCCAATTTTGTTGTTTTTCGTTACGTTTGTTACAAGCTTTATGAAATCCTTTGAATTCTGTGTACTTGAAGTTAAGATGTATGCGTACCTCGTGAAATGGTCCACCAAAAGGTGTAAGTATTTCTTCGTTGATCTGGATCCTCCAAGTCCTCCAATTGTATCAATGGACATTATTTCAAAAGGTTTTGTGGCTGGTCCCAAGTGGGACATCAATCCGTATATTTTTTGTCC